CCCCAAAACTTCACCAAGTAATTACTAGCACATTTAAGTTACTTAATTATTCAATTTCTTAAACAATCCTTTAAAAAATTGTTTGTATATCTTTTAATAAATCATTTGTGTTAATCAATTTCTTTGATATCCTTTAATAAATCGTCCAACAAGAATAATAAAAAATTCACAAATTTTGCTGGAAATATTCCATTCTTATAGTCGGATTGTTAAGGAATATAGGTGACTGTTCGACATTTAGCTAGCCCCAGTTTTTTAGTTTTGACGACCTGGGGATTAATCTCAGTCTCCTCATCTTATTGAATGCCTCCTTATTAATAGTAAATAACTTCCTATACTCTTTTAGTGCAAATACTCCACAATGCAATTGTAATACTTTAGAATGTAATATCCAAGTTCCTAATTTTCTAAAATAATAGTGTTCAACAATAGCAATGTTTATTATAAACCGGAAGCAAAGTATCCAAAATCGAGAAAAAACGGAGTCGAGAGAAATCGAGAAAAAACTCCGTCGGAGTCGAGAAAAATCGGAGTTTCGATAATATTTTGTTATAAAAATTAAACTATCTATTTGATAAAAAAATTAAACTCTCTATTTGATAATTAAACATTGTTCTTGTATTTTTATTTTTTAATTTTAAATATTTCGATTCATAATTCATAATAAAATTTTAAAAAATTTATATTTTTATATTTCTTAGTACATAAATGTTTTTTTTATCACAATTTTTTAACGAACAAGTTATATCTAATAATTGGCTTTCTAACCGGCATCGGTTAGGAAGAAGGCGTGAACTTTCAGTTAAATGCCCTTCTGCGTTGCTATGCAATAAAGACTTGTTGGGGCACCTATAGTAAAAATTAAAAAAAAAATTTGAAAAAAAAAGTATTTATACTGAAGATCTTTTTAAATAATATTTTAAAAAGATCAAAACATCTATCATTTCATCAGAAAGCGAACTACGAAACTTTGTGACAAATCTGGAAGACGAGGAGAAAACTCTTTCTGCTTCCGAGGAAGTTGCTTGAATTCTGTGGATGGCTAGTTCAAATTTTAAAACTGTTTCTGAATTCACACCAGTTACTTCATATTCTTTCAACTGATCGGTGAAGGTCTTGACTTTTTTTAGTTTTTTAGCTGCTGATTGATTTTGAATTAGAACTTCTTGAATTTCGGAGAAAAAAGATGTCGATTGTGATGGTTCTTCTTGTTTGTTTTTAGCGTGATCATCTAATTTTGATTGGAGACTATTTTCTTTTGTTGCAAATAGTTGATCAAATAATTTTGAAGCATAAATTTGAATATCTTTTTTGGAAGCGTAAAAAAATGTGTGGTTTTTATTTTTAAAAAAATCGGGATTGTGCAAATAACGACTCAATGATACCAACATAACGTTTTTACGATCTTCATATTTGGAGATTAAGGTCTCTGCAAAATTAGAACTGATCTCAGTTTCTGCAACCTTCAATTTCCTTACTAACGTTTCCATAATAATGTCACACTCCAAAATTGTTGTATTTGGTTTTTCCAAGCGAACTGCAGCGTCAGCAACGACTTCCAATAAGTCAGACAGCGATTTTAAGAAATCCAAGTCAATTTCAGCTAACATGTTTAAGCAGTTTAGCTCTTCGAGTGTCTTTTTTACAGCTTCTAAGCAATCCAGAAATCTTTTAATCATCTTAAAAACACTGTTCTATCTTGTTCGGTTGTCAAACAACAGTCCTTTGTCATGCAAAGATCCGTATATTTCGTGTATTTTTCTTTTAAGAACTTCATATCGAAACGATGAATATTTCAAAAACTTAATTAGTATTCGAAGTTTCTGTAGATTTTTTTCGATATTTTCTTCATACTCAATCTCATTCTCCGAATATTCAATAAGAAACTTCAGACTCTCCATCAGTTTCTGTTTCTGTTTCAATAATCGATTCAGTTTCTTTGTTCACAATTTTGCGACAATCTTTTTTAGCGTATATCAAATCACAAACACTCAAATGAATTGAATGATTCTGGCAGATCTGATGTGGAAACTTAAATATGGTACCCAATTTCACCATCCAACTACAGCCATCCGTAGTTTTACCTGCAATATCTTCACTATCTATACCAAATTCTTTTAATTTTTCCATTATCAAAATGTTTAATGTTTCAGCAGAACTAGGAGATGGCAATCTCATCATTCCTAAACAATACGTTCTGTCGTGATGAACATTCAAATTGTAGTATCTTCTACCTCTATTGCTACACCATTCGTCACCTGTTAGTCCAAATTTTTCTCCTTTTGCTTTCAATGCAGCCAATTCAGCGATCATTAAGTATTTGGCTTCAGCATGAAACATCTTAATTTTTTCTGAAATTGCGGACGCTGACGTAGGCAAACTATGCCCGTAATTTTCAAAAAGCATTCTTAGTGTTTCAGATTGAGTTATGGACCTAATCGAATACCCATCAAGAGCTGTCAACTTGGCAAGAAGATCGTTTAATGACATTTTAGTCAAAACTGGTCTGGAACTGAATGGTTTCAAATCTATTTTCTCGCAACTTTTGACGTGTCCAATAAGGCCGTTTGTGCTGCTTCCTGGACAAGCGATTCTTTTATGACATTTTTTGCAATCTCCATACTTCTTATCATTTACCACAACTTTATTAAAGTACTTCCACGCTTCCGAAACCATTTTTTTCTATGAAAGAAAAATTATCAATTTGATAATGACCTCCCATATTTGTTTTTAATTTTATTTTAATTGTGAAAAGTTATCACATTTTAAGTTTTTAAGTTATTTATTCTGATAGGTAAGTATAATTAAACATTAATTATTATTATTATTTATTTTCACTGATAACATTTTATTGCACAATTTTTCCACAATGCTCAGTGGGCCGGATTTTAGACTTATGGTGGACAAAATTATTTTGATCATACAAAATACGACACTACTTGTATAAAATGAAAGTTTTATATGTTTTATATGTTAAAAACTTACCTCGTTATTTTACGACCAGTCTTTGTTTATATTATAAATAATGATCTTGACTAAACTTTTTTTTTGTAAAGGTAAACTATTGAGTAGTTAAAATATATAAACTAATATCACATTCGCATAATATTTTAAAAGTTACTGTTTATTATATCTTTGCTTAAAAATTAAAAAATTCTTGCTTTTTATTATGCATTACATTTTATTATACCGCAATTGATTTTTGTGGATTTAAAAAAATACTAATACTAAAAAGATACTTATATACACAAAAGAGTTTTTGAAATAGTACAATGGAAAAGTATGAGCATGTTTTAATATATGGTTTTGAACAGAATAAACTTTTTTTGAGGTTTTTTTTACCATCATCACCTGGCCCACTGTGCATTACCAATTGCTTTGCGATGTATATTAGTGTTGTTATTAAACAAAGAGAACACTTACATTTGAAACAGTTTTTAAAATTACAATTTACAATTGTTAAAACCACGTAGAAATAAAATAAGAATTCGATTATTTTACCAATATAAAATTGGTATTTTCTAAAAACTTCGTCGAAGTTTCGTCGAAGTTTCTCGATTTGTCTCGAACTCCGAAACTCCGAAAAACCGAGAAAAATCCGTCGAGACGGAGTTCCGAATGGATCCACTGACCGGAAGACTGCCTGACCTCATATATCTCAGATTGTGCAAGCAGTTCATTAAAGTTGCTAAATGTTTAGTTCTTTAAAGTTGCTTACTGTTGAGATAAATTGTGCAGCTAAAAAAACTCTGGATGTTTTTTTCTTGATCTAATGATGAATGATAAGATGAATATGTGCACTTTTTTTTTCTCCTTTTTTTTTTATTTATTTAGGATAGTCATTTGGTATAACTATAACTTGTAAGAATTTACTTTGTATTTTTATAAAAACACAAATCTAATTTTTATTATATTCTTTTTTAGGATCGTCCACAAAGCTAAGTTAAGTTAGCTGAGCTAAGTTTCACTTGCAAAAATATTAAAAGGTTTCCCTCGCAGAGCCTCAAGTTAAACATAAAATAAAAATAACTTATTAAGTTTAATGAAAATCGCCCCGTAAAAAGGCTTAAAATTCCCTACTTTTGTTTTTTACTTTTGTTTTAAAAATAAACTTAATGTTGCGTAATATATGGGCTATCCTTTTTCATAATTTTAGATATTACCTATTAAATCTTTTAAGAAACTTAAATGACGTATCTCAAATACTATTTTATTTGTAATTCTTATTTTGTTTCATTTTATTTTTTAACTTTTCCTTTTGTTAAAAAGCGATATTTACACCATTACTTATCTTTACGTTGTTTTTGTTTTTTTGTTGTTTTATTTTAAGTTGTATTGTATTCGAAAAAAAAAAGTAACAATATCCATTTAAAATTATATTATATATATTTAATATTATTTTACTGAGGTTGTAATAACTTTTTTGTATATGATGGCTTTTTGTTTAATATGTAAATAATACAACTGGGCTGAATGATAAGACTTTTGTCTACTGCCTGCTCCTGCCACATCTTAATTAAGAAAATATTGTAAATAACTTTTTATGAAGATGACAAAATATATACCAAAAAAAAATTAAATAAACAAAATGATTTTTATTCATTGCGATTAAAACAGTTTTTATACGTAATGCACTTTTTGTTTTGTATGTCATAATTACATAACTTTTTTTATTTTAATCAATTGGTTAATCTGTAGATAACATTAATTGGATGACGTATTTTACCAGTATAGGTAAACAAAATTCACCTACGTTGTTATCATTTAAAGTGTTGTTAAATCATCCAATTTAGAGGGGCTTTAATTAAAGGGAGAATTTAAATTTTGAAAAAAATCTTAAAATTTTTTGAAAAAAACTTAAAACTTAACATGATCTGTTTTACGGGTCCGGACACCTAGAATTCATAATAATAAAATATATTATATAATCTAATTTTTTTAAGCTGTATTCTTTACTTACACGAACTTCATTTAATATTGACTTAAATAAACACAAAAAATTTATCAAAAGCATTATCTTTCAAAATATGATTAAACAGTTTCTAGCAATTAAATTTTTTAGTGAGTTTTGAATTCATTCCTAGTGATTAAACTAAATTACTGTCTTTAGTGGTTGATAAAAATATTCTAAATATAACTTATACTTTATTGTAATGCGCATTGTAATGGAATCGCGCATCTATATGAGTCCATATTACGGAATAGGTACACAAATAGGTCACTGATGCTTTACTCACAATACCCTGACAATTTGAATTTAACACCGGTTTTAAATTGTATACTGACTTCAAATTTATATTAACAAAGTATGATTCAGTTGAAACTGATTCTACTTCAAATGTTACGGCAACTAAAAATTGACCAATATTTTTAATAGATTCCTTAAATGTTCGCACAATTAAAAATAAGCTTTTTTGCTTCAATACAATAACTTCTTCGCTCACAATGTAAGATGAAAGGGTGTAAGCCACTGATGTTCGTGTAGTGTTGTAAAGTTTCTTTGTGTCAAACCTACTTGTTGAACTAGAATTTATTAAATCACAAACGCACAACCGAAAACTAAACTCTGCATTGCTGCATTTGCGGTAGCCATTAAATTCTGATATTCGATCCCACGCTACTAATTCTAAACCAAAGTTTTCAGAAAATTCGTTTAAAGTTGATTTTACAACAACATTAATTTTTTCTACATCATTAGTTGATCCTACGCCTGGTAAAGTATAAATATCAAAGTTAGTTAAAGTAAACTCGCCGTTTTTAACTTGGCTAAAAATTTCAAACCAAAGTGGAGTAAGACGTTTACAGTTTTGCGATGAGTTTGTTATTATGTTATTCAATTTTCCCAAAGCAAATTCTAGGTACATCAATGCATTGCTATCGTTTTTTCCTTTGGAATAAGTGTTTTGACATATACATATATTAGGCATACGTAGTGGAAGGTCATCACAATTTCTATTTTCAGAAATTCTTTTTAAAAGACCTTTTTCAAATAAATTATCAGCATTGTTATTGTCATTCTTTTCAGCAAAATAAAACAACATTTTGTGTACATCGACGATTGTAAATAATCTATTTTGATTTACTCGCAAGTTTTGTAACTCTTCAAGGCCAATATAATTTTGAACATTCTTTGGGATTAAAATAAACATTGACGGGTGAAACATTTCGAATCGCCCCTCAATGTAACTAGAAACAAATCTTGTGTACGTATTACCGTGATCAGAAAATATTATAGTTAGAGTGTTTTTGAGTTTTGACATTTCTTTTAAAAATTCAGACAAGTCTTCGTCTATTGCCTGCACGCGTATACCATACGAATCATGAGCAACATTCAGCGCCGTAAAAGAAACTGCATTTTGGTTCTCTGGTAAGTTGTTGTAAAAATGCTCAAGGTATTTTAAGTAATAGTAATTTTGCTGTTTGCTATTATAACAAACTTTTTCGTGTTTTTGTGTTTGAAACACAGTTGATAAACCCAGGCTTGAAAGGATTTCGCAGCTGCTTTGAAGAAGACCTAAAAATAAATAAATGAAGAAAAACTTAAACTGTTACTAGAATACAGTAATAAACATTAATAAAAATTAAGTAAGTGTTCAATGTATTTTATGTAAGCCTACAGCTAGATTTATTTGGTATATGCTTATAAGAATATATATGTCCTAAAACAGTGTTTGGTAAGTTATGGTTAACGCTAACCTGACCATAACTTATTAAAACATTTTTAGTAAATATATATTATCATATATATATCCAAAAACTTATTCATTATTATATTTAACAAAAACAATACAAAAATATTTTAATTTGATGACCGTGATGAATTGTTCCTAATGTCCAAATGATTCAAATCCACTATCCTTTTTATTTTGATATAAAAATATTAGGTTTAGTCATCTCATAAGATCATGTTTATTGTCTAACTTTCAAAACATTTGTGTTAACAATGCTTCACTATTAACATCAATATCATCTGTTTTATCATTACTCATTTCTACATCGCCTTTAGATGTCCCCTCTATCAAAGTTTTTGTTTTAAAAGAATCACAGAACCAACAGAAACCACTTGTTGTAGAAAATCAACTCTGGTAATTAGGTTTCGCTATGGTGAATGCTTAACATCAGAAGCATATTAAAACAAACAAGAGAAGAAGTATTTAAAAAAATGAAAAAAATAAATGAAAAAAGAATTCCTACAGATAAAAATAATCGAAGTTAAGATGATTACGATGATTCTGTGGTGTCCATAGACTACGCCACACTGTAGCGTCCATAGGGATAGAAATGGTCAATAGATACACTACGATGATAACATAGAGATGAAGATGAACAGTGAGCGTGCTGCAATGCTTGCGACATTTGAAATCATATAAAATGTTCTGTGATAGAGCGGTTGCTCTAATTCTCGGTAAAAATATGTTTAAAAATTTTTGTTATTTGTCCTATTTTTTACTTTTTTGTTATAACTTTTACCAGTCTTTATAGGTGTTGACATGATTTTCTGATGTTTTAGACACTTTCAGGGTTTGTACTAACTTCATACTTAATTAGGTTCATAGTTATGCAAAATGATAATATCTTGTCAAATATTTCACTGATTTATGCCTGGAAACCAAAATAACTAAATATGTTTGCCCCTACTTCTTATTTTTAAGTACAATAAAGCAATTAATTTTTTTTTTACAATTTTATAATATATTTAAATTCATTAACAAGTTTTAGTAAAATACATAACCTCCACAGTTTAGAAAGGGTGGAATTCTCACACGTTCATTCTTTTAAACACTTAAAGATTATTTAATTAAATTTATAACCAGTCAAAAGTTAAATGTCTAATAAGATTGTAAAAAAATTATTTTATTAGCTCATAGTCCCTTACATTTGGGGAAGGGTGTCCAATTTTGGGGTTTCTAGTTCTCAGGCTCTTGTCACCGCAATATTTTGCAAAATATTGTGGTGATTAGAGCCGGAGAAACTAGAAACTCATTTGACATTTGCAAGAATATACTAATGTTTGTAGCTTGCAAATTCCTAAAAGTGTATTGCATAATGCCTAAAATGTATGTAAAACATCAAAAATTTGCTAGCACTAATGTCAGCGTTGCCATTATATGGCTATTTTTTCAGTCTAAAAAATGTTCACCTTCCTAAAATAAGCTTTATTCGATTAAAAAAAAACTTGTATTGAATTTTTTACTATTAATTTACTTCTAAAAAATAACTGAAACTATATGAAAATGTTTGCATTAAGTGTAAATAAGAAGTGATCAGTAAAGTAGAGATAAATGTGATAAATGTGTGTTATGGTATATTTGACATTTTATACAATGTCAAAAAATAGTATAAGAGGCTATAACCGACTATAAGAGATTATAAGAGAGTATGAGAGTATAAGAGAGTATAAGAGAGTATAGGAGAGAATAAGAGAGTATAGGAGATTATAAGAAAGTATAAGAGAGTATAAGAGAGCATGAGAGTATAAGAGAGTATAAGAGAGTATAGGAGATTATAAGAGAGTATAGGAGATTATAAGAGAGTATAAGAGAGTATAAGAGAGTATAAGAGATCATGAGAGAGTATAAGAGAGTCTAAGAGTATATAAGAGAATATAATAGAGTATAAAAGTGTATAAATTGGTTTATAAAATCAAACTACAGCTCTGCTTACCGTCTATAACAGACAAAGCCATTTCACTAAAATCAAAGTTGTATTTTTTTTTGTATTTTTCACTTTAATTTTCATTATATTTTATATTTTTTATATTTATTAATTATTAATTTATATTAAAATATTTTTATAGAGTTTTTTCTTTTAGAAATAAGCAAATAACATATGATGAAACAAAATGTAGATTCTCATAGTTTGAACAAAATCTCCACAAATTTATCAGATAACCTTAAGCTAATCTAGATAAACTTATCAGATAACCTTATCAGATAACCTTATTCTACAAACTTACCAGATAACCTTAAGCACAATGACTCCACTAAAAAAATTTTACAGATGGTTGAAATTGCATTTAATTCGGGCAATTCCAGGCAAAACATAATGGCCTGGAAGTCAAATATGATAAACTTGAATGTATAAATTACTTCTAATTTTTTTTCTTATGGTATTTATAAAGAAAAAAAAACATTAAAATTCGACAAAAAAAAACATTTCTAATTTAACCATCAAGTGATTTGTCAATAAAAAAAAAAATTAAAATTTTAAATCAAAAAAAATATTTAAAATTAATATTTAAAGTATTTAAACAATGTTTCAAAAGCTTTAAAATTATTAAATGCAAAAAAATAAAAAAGGAGTTTCGCAAATCTTTTGAATAGTTCATGCTAAAAATAAAAAATAAAATAAAAAAAGACTAGCACTAGTAGCAATATTATTTACAACTAAATAAAAGGGAATTGATTGACGCAATGGAGTGTAGAGGTGTCCCGGATAAGCTATCCGGCCGGATATCCGGGCCGGATATCAATATTATTCGATATCCGTTATCTGGCCGGATAATAACATTATCCGGTTTTCGATAAACCGGATATTTCAAGTTGAAATTTAAAGATTTAATAAACCAAGAAATGTTATATTTTTAAATATTCTAATGTTAATGGTTTCTATTCAAAATTGTTATTATTATTAATAACAATTTATTATTCAAATACTATTAAACTTAAACGCAACAAACACATCAGTTTATCACTTATTTATAAATTTATTTCCATTATAATGAATAATAGTAACATTTCTCCACATTGAGGTAACAGCCTCGATCGCTTTTTCTCAAAAATATCTCCATATTCGTAAAACAATTGCTCCCAAAATACAGAGGATGCTAGAGGTGCTAATAATTTAAGAGCTAACTCTTTTAGAATGGAAACTTCTCTTCATGTTTCCAGTAATTAAAAACGTCTTCTTTTTTTTCTATAATCGAGTTATTAGAGAAAAAATCAACTTCTTGAGCAGCTTTCACAAGCGAGACTTGATCAGGATTTGTTTCACTATTTTGTTCTGTAATATAAAAAAATTTAAATACTAAAGGTTATTTATTTATACATTTTTATTCAATAAAATGTATATAGTACTTAAATCAGCAAACCAACAACATGCAGAATATAGCTAATATTAAAAATAAAAACTTAATTAAAAGTTTTTCTGTTTATCAAAAAAGTTTTTAAAATTATTAAAAAACTTTTTTTAATAAACAGAAAGAGATCTTCTTACCTAAATTTCCTTCATACTCTGCAAGTTCTAAAAAGCAGGAGTTAAAGTCATTCTCTTCCAAATCAACTTTTTTTTTTTTGGAATTTGGCGTTAAATGATTGGAGATGGTGGTGGTGGAGCTGGTAGCTCTATTAATAACAACTGCTGAAAGTCCAGTTATATTTCTTTGATTTTTTACTACGGCATCTAATAGCATTGATCTTGCTTGTCCTCTCTTATCAACAGGAAGAAATTTGAGCTTGTAGCGAGGATCAATAATGGTGGGTAAAACATATCTTTCATCATCTGTTATATTGAGATTATCATGAGAAAAGAATCTCTTATTTAAAGATTCTATAAGTTGTTTTGTTATTTGAACTGCATCATCTTTTTGATCAAATGTAAAGTACATATATTCGGAACTACTGTTGATAAACTACAAAGTTCAGAACTCATAGCATTAGTAAGTTCATAAAAAGGCTTTAAAATATATAATAAATTTTCAATGAATTTCCAATCATTTGATGCAAATGTTGGCAATTCATTATGATCAGCTAAATACATTTGAACTGCTCTTTTAAGTTTTTGAAGTCGCTTTAACATTAAGTACGCACTACATGTTTGTTTTTTTATAAGCATAAGAAATTTTTGAAACAGGCTCGGGTATGCTTAAGCAAAAAGTTAAAAGAGGCTCAAAAATATGCTTAAACTTAAGCATATTTCTAATAAAATATGCTTATTTCAATACTTTCTAAAAGTGCGCGCGTTACTAAAGGTTATAAGAAAAATAAAAAGTTGACTTTTGTACAGTATAATAAAAAATAAAAAATATATACTATATACAAATGTTATCAATGAAATCAAAGATATGAACTTCGCATTCCTTCTCGTCCGGACCCATAAAGGTGTCATCTGGAAGAATTTCGTTGGCATCTTCATTTATAGCATCATCTACCTCCACCGGTTGAATATCACTTTGATTTCCCTTGGGTTGATCACTGACAGGATCAATGATGGATGGTGGGGGCACTTTGTAACTATCAAGGCCCTCTGGTTTAACAAGCGAATCTTCTGAGCCATCAGAAGTCATTAAACACCCAGTCATCGTCCAACATGTCTTCCTTTGCTTGTCATACTTAGAAGTGTTTAAAGCTTTCCATGCTTCCCCTGCTTAATGTGTAATCAAAATTCGTCTCTCTTTTGCAGTGTAGGGCATTTCATTACTGAACCATCTATCAGAATGATTATCTCTATCAAGCCATTTTTGATGTTCAATGGCAATAAGCCTTTTCAGAATGCAGCATATCCGGCATCAACTGGTTGCCAAAGGTCAGTGGCACTTGGTAGACCGTACCAGAGAAGTCCTTTAGCAGCAGCCACAGCATCTTTAAAATCCTCCTGCATCTGTCCCTTCATATTGTCCAGCAAAAGAACAAATTTATCAAGCTTTTGTTAGATTTTGTTAGATTTTGCATTACAATGACTTCTTTACTTCATAAAGTCGTTGCACTGCAAAACATAAACTTCGATTTTTGTTGTTTTTGTAGGCTTAAATTTAGAAATATATTTATTTAAAATTTTTAATTTAATAAAATTTAAATCTTTTAAATGGGTTATCAAGGCTCAGGAATAGGCTTACATATGCTTATTTTTTTCCAAATCTGAGCCTCCATATGCTTATAAACGTTATGCTTATAAAAAAAAAACATGTATTCCAGCGAGTAGGCACATCTTGAACCAAAAGTAGAGGTGTATTTTCATTTTGTTTTTGTTGCAGTAACTTAAATTCTGTACATGCCTTTGATGAATGATTAAAGTGGCCTACTATTCGACGTGCTTTAGCTAATAAATCTATCACTAATATTTGGGATAAAATGCATCCTTTATCACGAGTTGCAATAAGTGGATTGTGCAATGGACTGATGATATTTGAATAAGTTTACTGCCTAGTGACATATTAGCAGCACCATCTTTGACTAAAATATGTCTTCTTGGTGTATTAATTTTCCAGCTTTCTAACATATTTTTAAATTTTCCAGCTATGTTTATCCCTGTGTGAGCTTCTGGAAAATGTGAAGTATAGAGTAAAGCATTTTTGTGCTCAAAATTTTTTTTAATCCAATGTCCTGATAAGAAAATAAATGTTTCATGAGATGTCGGACAAGTCCAAATATCTGAAGTAAAACTTATGTACTGTGACTTAGCAATTTCATTAAAAACCTTTTTTTTAATTTGATCATACAATAGAGGAACTGCTGTCTCCGAAAAATAATGCCTACTTGGGATTAGGTATTATGGTTGTAAAAAAGCCATTAAACCAATAAATCCATCATCTTCGGTTATACTAAATGGTGGATTATCTAAAGCAATCATAATAGCAATTTTTCTATGAATTTGCTTAGACTTTTCATCATTAATATCCCATATCTTCTTTGATGTAAAACTACCTTCAACAGACATCTATTTTTGCATTTCGCACTTCTTCTTTGAAATCAATGAACTACATTTTGAACTTCCTTGAGCAGCTGAAGAACATTCCATTTTATAATTTTTTTCCTCTTCGTACAATTTGCAATGAAATTTTTTTGCATGATTATGCAGCGGAGTTGTAGAAAATGACTGCTGACCAGATTTACTACTCGCCCTGCTTATCTGCTTTCCACATGAAATGCAAATAGCAATGGAATCACAGCTATCACTAATTTTAAAAAGTTTCCATACAAAACTCGCCATTTTGAAAGGTTATTACAGTAACTTTTGTCTTAATTTAATATTTATATATAAGTTAAATAACATTATCCGGCCGGATAATTTTTAAATATCCGAGTATTCGATATCCGGTCGGATAACTGAAAAATGATATCCGGGACACCCCTAATGGAGTGCCATACATCGACTGACTCAGTGCCGGATCAAGGAGGGGTGGTGGTGTTTTACATTTGATTATATATATATATATATATATATATAATCATTTTTAGGCTCTGGCCCATAAAAAGGCCTCCAAAAACAGCCCCGGGCCCCAAGAAGTCTTAATTCGCCACTGGACTGACTTGACTAAGTACAAATTCTAGTTGTTTTTTTTTTGTCGAATAAAAATGGAACCAAAAAAAACTAGGTAAAAAAAGTTATGGTATATTATTTTAATTCAGTTAAATTTCTATTTGTATAATTAACGAAAAATAGAATAAAAAAAACTTTCTTTTCCAAAGTTTAAATTAAAAAAACTATTTATACTATTTTGTGCAAAATTTAATTCTGATTAGTAATATGCAAAAAAGAAATCAAGTTACTAACAATATTACTAGAAATAAATTGAAATTTGATTAACAATATTACTAAAAATATATTGAAATTCGATACAGTTTTCGGAATTTTCTTTTTTGTGTAATTTTTGCTTTAATTCAATGAATTTAAGCAAAAGTTACGCGAAAAAGAAAATTCAAAACTGTATAAACTTAAGAAAAATTGTTTTTTTTTTTTTTCAGTATACATTGCAACTAGTGTTCAAAACGGTGAAAATGCTCAAAAATAAAAAAAATAAAATGTTTTTCTATCTACTTTATATGTATCTGTAATTAAATCTTCGTATTGGTAATTACGGACAAATAAAAAAGGTAATATTAAACTAAATAAAACAAAAAACTTTTATATGGTTCAGTTGACTTTTTGGAAAGTTATAAAGTTATAAAGAAAAACAAAAAAGAAAGAAATTTATTATTTGCTCTAAGAAGTTTTTAATGAAAAATTCCTTAATTAACCATTTCTACGGTTTGACTATTAATTAACCATTTCTACGGTTTGACTATTAATTAACCATTTCTACGGTTTGACTATTAATTAACCATTTTTACGGTTTGACTATTAATTAACCATTTCTACGGTTTGACTATTAATTAACCATTTCTACGGTTTGGCTATTAATGGCCAATTTTAAAACCTCTTATTGGAAAACTGCATTTTTCTAATATAAAAAACGGGAAGGAGCTTATTAATTTTGTTTATTAAGTTTCAAATAAATTTCTGGAAAAAAAATCTCCAACTTTACGGAGCTTATTAGAGCTCTTGCCCCGCTTATTTATTTCGAAGAAAATAAAAAAAAGTTTGAATCTAAAATCTTTTTTCCTTTAAAAAATTAATTATCTCTAATGTGAGTTAAACGAGCAAAAGACTTAACTAATTACAAAAGCACATTTATAGCATAAGCATTTGCAACTTAAATGACAACTTATGCTAGAGATACTAATGTTATTAGAAGTTTAAAACTTTTTGAAAAAGCTTTAAACTTCTAATGAGCTCTCTCCTGTTAATAAAGCCCCCACACTTTTATTGTTCAGGTGAAAAGAGTAATTCGAGTTATAGATATCTATATTCTATGTATGTATCATCTATAGAATTAAAAACTTTTTTTGCTTTGTTTTGACAAGATTTTAAAACAGGAAGAACTTAAATGTGCAGTGATAAGGATTTAAACCCCCGCGATACACTGATTCTATCAACGCTTAGCATAGCGAGCTGACCATCAAGGTATTCTTTGAAAATGTATTTAAAATTATTTATTAAGGAAAAAATCATTTTATAAATTTTTTTTAACAACTTATTTTCATAACTTAATAAATTAGACAAATAGTTGCTATAAATCTACAATTAAGGTCTTATTGCCACAATCCGATTTGCAAATAAAAAGTGTAAAACTTAAAATTAACTTTCACATTTAAATGTATATAAAATTAATATTGTTACATTTTCTTTCACAATTTTTAATAAAAAAAATACTGAAACGCTTTCTCTCATTATTAACTTGCCTTTAATAGCTACAGTCGCCTCTGTGTAAAAACACACAAGAGGGTATTTCTAAAACTAATAAGTACAGCATTAATATATATAAATTTTTAAAACAATTGTCGTTTTCCTTGAATTGATGCTAGCAGAGAATATGGGATTTTTTAAAAGTAAAAAACTTTAAAATAAATTTTTTTTCAAACTAAGATTATACATAATTGATATTCTTACAACTTGTTTATAAAATTTTAGATTAAAATAAAGTCAGAAACAGAACTTTTTATTGTGTATATTGTACCACAATGAAGTCATTCATAGGGTTAGCCTATTTGCACGCACTTGCGAAGAGACTGTATCTAGTTATTACTGTTTTACTATATTATTATATCTTATTATTACTTTTTTCACATTCGTAAAAAACTTAAAGTAAAATTTTTTTGTATGAAAATTAACACAAAAAAATAATTTATAGTTTAAGTCGTGTATTTTGAAATTTAATCAAAAATAATAATAAAAAATCAAAAATACTTAAATATAACTAAATTTTTAATCTCAAAAAAATACTAACGGGGCAGTATATAAGCTTTAAGAACTAATTATATATTTTTTATTTAAATTTTAATTAAAAGATTGCCTCAGCCAAAAACCTCCTCAATGTATTTACTCTCCACTGCGCCTACCCATAGGTAGTCGGTCTATATATATACACTACAATGCGCTTATCCTAAAATAGTCAGTCGATGAATGTTCGCTCCTCTGCGCTGGATAATTTTTAAAATTAAAAATTACAAAAAGTCTTATTCATTTTACTTTTCATTAAATTGAATTAAATTTTCGTTTAATTGGAAGGAATTTTCTTTTTTTTTATTAAACTTGCAAATAGACTTTAATTAAATATAGTCTACAGGGGCAATTTTACAATTTTTACAACGAGCGTCCCCTCTTCCCAAAGTAGGCAATTTTCAACTTACATTCGCGTTTTTTCAGGGTTAATTGGCTTTTGACACACTTCAGGTAACAAGTTTTTAACTTTGATTACCTTCTTTTTTTAAATTAATTTATAAATCTATCGATTTAATATATAAATCTATAAATTTCGGAATAATTTCTTATATCATTACTATTAATTCATTAACAAATTAATGTGTAGTATTTGATTATTTGAAATCCGGTTTTTAAAAAAACGGTTCACGAGTAATTAACTCCCCATTTTTTCCGCTTGTAATTTTAAACTTTTACCTGTGTATTGTATACTTGATTTTTGAATTTTTTTTGTTAAATCCGCCCAACCGCCATACGGTTTTCCCATATCCATTCGTATTCCCCAAAACGATTTCCAGCACATGTCATCTTGATACAGCGTTAGGTATCCGAATTTTTTAAAGTGACTCATAAATGTTTTAATACCAACACCGGTATTCAGCTGCATTTTTCCAGTAAAGTTTGTTGGAAAAGGTGCTCCTGTAAAGAGAGCTCTACTGTTTTCCAAGGTGTGGCCATGAACAGCTTGAAACATTTCAAAGTCGAGAACTTCTGAATCACTTTCCAAGTTTATTTTGTTAATTGTTTTTATAGTCTTTTGTAAGGATCTGTAAAAATGAGGACGAGAAATTGAGTCAAGCATAACAAGATTGATATTTATTTTTTGTTTTTGGTTTGTGTTCAATAAAGTGTTTTCAAATATATTATTTTCAAGTATAAGTAACTGAGTTTTTGTTTTATTGTTTCCGCAACTAAGAAACAAAAAATGAAATCCATTTTTTGAAGATTTTTCAGCATATTTTAAAACTAAACTGGTTAAGTTTTGTAGGGTATCGTACTTTTCTTCCATTGAGACTACTTCGCCAGAATTAGGATTTAAATAACGAATTGTTACTGGTTGATTCTCACAAGCATCTTTTTTACAATACAACTTTTTCTCTACAAACTTGCAAATTTCTATCGAATGTTTACCGTTACATGAGTTATTTACGTCATACGCGTATGTCTCATTTACGTAGCGGCAGCTAGCTTTTGAAGGAACATGATTTTTACAAATAATTTTTTTTTTTTTTACATAATACTTCTTATTAATGCTTTTCAACCCGCATGCGTTATATTCTCTAACTTCAACGTCATTAAGTTTCAAACTTCGAAATACTGAATCTGTATTTTTGAAAGTTTCATAAATATTTTTTTCAGTTAACAACCATAAAATACAAAAAGATGTAACTGCTAATAAAAATAAAATCTTTAAAAACTTGTTTGTATTTACCATTTTTTTTTTATTTTAATAAGCGTTTTTTTAACTTGAAAATTAGCAAACAAACAAACTTAGAAAAACGATTGAATCGTATTATATATTTTAAAACTAATGTTCATTGTTTACTATGGTCTTACGTCATTTATTTGTAAAACGTGGTTTCTGCAATATAGTCCCTTTCTAAAAAACCACGTATTTAAAAACCGCAACCTTACTGACTTTTAATTAGTAACAAGTAATTTTATGTATAACCTTTTAAGACGTTTTGCTTTAGTTTTTTATTTTTGATTTACTAAAGATTTCAAAAATCTGTTGTTTTTTTTTTAATTTTTTTTTATTGTGTTGACAGAGAAGAGGGCTGCAAACTTTATAAAACTTAAAGTTTGCATATTTCTGTTTAATATAAGTATGATATTGATATGATAATATAAGTATGATATAGTATATTTTATACACAAAACCGTTAATTGAAGTAAATTAATAAAAGTTTGTGATTAGTATCTTTTTGTTTTTGTTTTTCTGCTTAATGATAATGGCGACAATGATGTTAACGAAAATTATCAGTGGAGTGGTTAAGTTCCCCACGCTCTAGTGTGGGAGGAGACGGTCCAGAGAATTTAGGAGACCCTTTTGCAAAATTAAGGATTTTTTTAATCAATATTTAATGGCAGGTTTAGGGAAGGGGGATGGGTATTAAAGATAAAAAAATTATCAAGTTTAAACAACTCAACATAAATTATGAAGTTTAATGAATTAGTTTGTGATATTTGTATTTGTTTTTTTGTATTTTTATATTTAAAATTTTTAAAAACTTTGTCAAATCTAAGCAAACCTTATACAACTTGGTACCCAAAGAAAGGTATTAAAAAGAAGAACAAGCACATTTAAAAAAAAGTAACATGGACGCTAGTGGTGTATCTATAACACTCTATAATGTAGTAAAAATATAATTTTCTTTAAAGAAAATTTTTTTAAATAAAATTTTGTATTTTTATTTGTACTTTTTTATATATGCTACCATACCACTATCCAATTTGATATGAATACCATGAGTTGGTAAGAAGTTTGTTTGGCATCAGCATGGTGATAGTTGTCTTCTTCTACCCAAGTTCATAAATTGATTTAGTTAATTGCGTTATCTGATAAGTCCGTAATTTTAGTAAACAATCAGTAAGAACTTTTTATTTAAATTATGGACTTATCAATTAACATAGACTTAAGTTATGTGATTGGTTCTTACGTTCTTATTAAATAGCAAGTCAAAGGAGTTTAAATAGAAAGTTGTGTTAATAAACTTCATGCAGTAAGTGCAAAAGTAAAACAAAGCTTTTGATATCAATAAGATTGAAAAAAATGTTTATTATAAAACTTGTATAAAAAAATGTCTGCATTAAAAAATATTCTTAAAGAAATGAGAACTCACAGGAGTAACGGTAATTATTCTGAATAAAAACTTTGAAATTTAAAATTGGTGTAAAAAAGAAATAATAACAAGTATTGTGTAATTTATATTATGACAGTTAGAAACTTGATGTCTTAAGAGAAATTCACACGATAAACTAAAACTTCAATTATTAGAATATAAATCCATTCGTCAGCCGAGGGAAAATGGTTTTGGTGGTAGCGTATCTAACTTTTGTTAGAGACGTTGACTTGGCTCGTAAATAACCTCAGAGTGAATGACGTGCATCCCAACTAATCTACTATAGAAATAATTAATAAAACATTAAATTATACATTTATAACAGTATTACCTACACCTCCTAATGCTAATTACAATCAAATAAAAACCACTATAGGGTACACAAATAAAAACCACTATACAAATAATAACCACTATAATGCTAATTACAATCAAATAAAAACCACTTAAATTATTAATTACAAAGCTCGTAAAAAAAAACGTTTACTTATTGTTTGATTTTAACAAAGTGTTAATATAACATGTAAAATTAAAAAATAATTTTTAAAACCTAATGCTTTTGTATGTTATTAAAACACAAATTTTGCAATTATTTTTTTCTGGTTTTTACTATTTTATTTTATTAACATTCGGATGTATGCGTGTGTAAAAAAAACAAAAATAATTCAGTAAGAGGTGGGTCTCGAGTCACAGACATTTCGTTTACGAAGTCAACACCTTATTCAAATAAGCTAAACGCGCGTATATGTAGAAAAATATATATACTTATTTTAAAAATTCTTCTTCTTCTTTCCATATAAAAAGTAAACTTAATTAAAATTAACTTGATTTATTGCAAAACTAATATTGAATATTGTGTCATCAAGCAAGAGTATGTATGCAAAGTTTGAAGAAAATCTATCATCAGGAAGTGACTCAAAAATTGATTGCAAGATTTGATGCTCACAAACAAAAAAACAACGAAGATGCTCACAGACAAACGAACAAACAAACGACAACGAAGATGCTTTCAGACAAACAGACAAACAAACAGAGACGACAAAGATGCTTACAGTCAAACAAACAAACAAACAGAGACGATGAAGATGCTCACAGACAAACAAACAAACAAACAGAGACGACAAAAATGCTCACAGACAAACAGAGACGACGAGTTAATAAAAGCACAGGGAAAAACAGACTTCATTGAACATTATCCAGTCCAGATTTTTAATGTTCATTTCATTGAGCATTATCTAGTCTTTTTATTAACTAATTTAGCAACCTCTGCTAAAAAACAAAAATAATCTCAGCCGTATATGTAAGACACATAAACAATCAATTAGTTTCTACAATTTGCCAAGACTTGAATGAAGTCAAATGGGAGAGACTGACTTATTTAAATGAGGTAAATAATGATTATAATTATTTTATTTGCGTTTTCTCTAAATAATATAAAAATGCTTTTCCAAAAGTTAAAAATAATTATTTCCTAAAAAAATTTTTTTTTATAAAAAAAAAAGTCTATGAAAGACAAAAGGACTTATGATGTTTTCAAAATAAAATTAATCTTCATCGTTACCTTAATAAGGCATTAGAAAAAGCCTTATTATGAAAAGAGTAAGTGTTAATTTATAAATTTATGAAGACGCTGGACATATGTTGAGTGTAAATAAAGACTTTCATAAGAAATAATAAATGGTCTAAGGGTACAATTGAGACATTCTGCATTTAAATTGAAAAAAAAATAACTATTATGTTTTTTAGATTTCTTTTTTTTTTAATATTGTTTATAAAATACTATTAAGCATATAAGTAACTATAGCAACGACCTGTTATAAGTATGAGTTATATAGTAACGACCTGTTATAAGTATTTAAGGTTGAATTCAATCTGTTTGATTTTACCTTGCATCAATCTTATAACGCACCTGCCAACTATCTAGAGATAAACGCAGTGAGTGTACATGCAACAGTTAAGGGTTTTAGAAAGGTCAACCATTCCAATAGTTAAAAACTCTGACATTATGTAAATGACAAGTTTGCTTGAGTTTTGACAAAAATATATAACTTAGTTTATTGTTTTCAACTTGATAAAAGGTCTAGTCACTATTATTGTTCACAACCAAAAAGCTTAGTCACTATTTGGAAAACAGCATACCGTAAACTTAAAAGGGCAAGATGAACAAGACTACTCGAGAAACAAGAAGACTATATATAAAAAATTCGATATATATATCAAATTTTTATATACGACAAGATTATATAAAAAATTGGTATATATGCCGAATTTTTATATACGACATGACTATATGAAAATTTCTATATATATTCCGAATTTTCATATAGTCTTGTCGTGTCTGGTGTAATCTTTTTTTCTCTTGCCTTTAGAAGTTTACGGTCGGTTATTTTCGAAATAGTGGTTGTGAACACCCTCTGTCTGTTGCGATCTGGTCTGTTGTTTTTCAAATAGTGACTAAGCTTTTGACAAAAATCTAAACATTTAGCTTTTTGTTTTAGACTTAATTTATATGGTTTTATGTAATTCTAAGTTTTAACTTTATATGATTCATTGCAACTTTTCGTGTTGAATTTAATTTAATTGATATGGTTTTATAGAGTTTTTTGTTTTATATCTACTTTATATTTATTCTAATTTAACTTATACTTTTTTATATTCTATAGATTGTAAAAAAGTATAAGTTAAATTAGATTGTATAGAACTAAAGATAGAACTAAAGATTGTATAGAACTAAAAAGAAAAGTTAAAATAAACTTGTTTTTTTAAATTTTATTTAATTTAAATAAACTTTATTTATTTAAAATAAAGCTTATTTTTTTACTTGATATATATATATATATATATATATATATATATATATATCAAGTAAAAAAATAAGCTTTATTTTAAATAAATAAAGTTTATTTAAATTAAATAAAATTTAAAAAAACAAGTTTATATATATATTAGGGTGGGTCATAAAATTTTTTTATCTTGTTACAGGCTCTAAACATTGCTAGAAAGTTGTTTTTTTATGTACTAATTTAGGAAAGTATTTACTTTTATGGATTGAACAATGTCTTCGACCGCAACTATAATTACAAAAATTAGCAGGCCCTATTATTATTTAAAAAAAAAGTTTTTCAAAATTATGTGATGTAGGTACTCAAATAAAGCGAAATTTTATAAAAATTTCAAAAATAATAGTTCTTTCATATAAAAATTATTATTTTAGATTTTATTGCATAGTAACTATAGTTTTTTAGCTAAAAGCGAAAAAGGTGCATTTTTACATGTTTTTTAATAACAATTGTTTTAATAACAATTGCAATATGATTTTTATAAAATTTCGCTTCTTTTGAGTACCAAGTTGATCTAATTTTGAAAAACTTTTTTTCTCCAAAATGTTAGTTTTATAAAAAAAATTATTTAACTAATACGCCGAACACCGTGTTACAAAAAATTGTAACACAGTGCTCGGCGATCAGACAAAAGTTACTTAAAAATACATTGTTTCTAGGGTTTTCCGAAAAATTAGTTTAATTTTAGTTAAAAATAAAAATTTATTAAATGGCGTATTTCCAGAGTACGCTTTTTATGTTTATATTCGATGAAAAGATTTTTTAAATTTGTA